AGGAGATGGCTCGTCAGAAAGAGGAGATGGCTCGTCAGAAAGAGGAGATGGCTCGTCAGAATGAAGAGTTTTTGGCTCGTTATAATGAAGAGTTTATGGCTCGTCAAATGGCGCTTTTCCAACAATACAACTCCGCAATGCTCGCTCAAAATCCGAACTTGCGCTTACCGGAGTTTCCGCCAATCTTCAACAACGATGCAGCGCAGAACATTTATACTCCTGGAGCGTCATCTTCTAGAGCCGCCGCACCGCCTACTCAACTACCAACGCAAGAAACTACGACGCCACAAGAGGAGCACACCACTTCACAACCGCGCGGAAGATCGATAATATTCACGACAGAGGCGTTACGAAAGGTGGTCGCAACTAAAAAAAGAAAAAGAGCGAAAAAAAGAAGAAGTAAAATTAGTGATTGTCGAAGTTATTTTTTGTTGTACATTAATTATTAAACTTCAAATTCAATTTCAATTTCAATATCAATTTCACTTTTAATTTTATTTTCAATTTCATTTTAAATTTAATTTTAATTTTTTTTTTAATTTTTCAAAAGTGAACCAGCGGCCAGGCCGCCAGAAATTTCTTCCCGGGAAATTTTTTTTCCTGCCGGAAAATATTGACCAGCGGCCAGACCGCCGGAAAATTATTTTTCAAAAATAACTGCCGACGGCCAGGCCGCCGGAAAATTATTTTCCGAAATTAACAGCCGGCGGCCAGGCCGCCGGGATATAATTTTCAAAAAAAAATTTCGGCGACTAAGCCGCCGGGACAATTTCTGTTAAAATCGGAATCCAAAATTTTTTACCGGCGGCTTGGCCGCCGGTATTTCAACATTCCGGCGACATCAACTCCGGCGATGGAATCTCGTCGGCTTGGCCGCCAGGAACCATTATACCGGCGGCCTGGCTGCCGGAATTAATTTGCCGCCAGAACTGCGCTGGTTTTTTGTAGTGCCTCCACATCCAGGCTCGCCGACAATCTCGAGAAGTACAAACGATGAAGTTTGACATGTTTCTTTCTGCTGTCAAAAGACCAACCGCGCGCCCCCCGGCATGTTTAGACCACCCAGAGCCCACGAAATATGCAAAGAGAAAGAAACGAAAGGGGCCCGCTGCCAAAGACGTCCGAATGCTCTTAAGGCCGAAGGGCCACGAGAGGGCACTCGGCTCGTCCAGGCCGTCCCGAAACCAAGCATAAAAGTAAGAACGCGAAAATAATAATAAACGAGTCTATTTCAGATTTAAACAGAAAAAGCTACATCAAGACTGAGGACTGAGTAGTAGGAGGAATGTGGTCGGGGAGGTTGACGTCCGAATCTTTTTCCTCGTTGTCGCCCGTATCTGTCGAAGACTGCAAATCAGGAGGGTCGGCCCCGTCAGTCACCTGCCACCGCTCCCACTTCAAGCGAGTACGAGGCACGACACTGGTCTGGTGGTCCGGGCGGACAAGGTTGCACATGACACGCCCGTGCTCATACCCCTTCCAGAACCCATCACGCTTGTCAACCAAGCTCTGGCGTCGGGCTTCCTCTTGAGACACAGTAAAACGCACCTGGAATCCAGTCTTGAAGGAGGCGATGGCTTTGTCGTGAGCATCCCTGACCTGTGTGTCTATGTGCTCGATCGCCTGATCATGAGCCCTCTCGGCTTCAGTAGCCCGAGCCTCCGCCCAGGCCAACTTGGACTCGAGGGACTCGATAGTTTTCGAAGCATCCCCGAGGGCCCGATCTCACTCCACGACGATGCCCAAAACCTCCTCCCTCAGACGAGCGATCTCCGCTTCCACAACACCGTCGCGAGCCTTGGCCAGCTAGACCCGGTGTATCTCTACGTCTTTCGAGGCCTCCTTGACAGCGGCCGAAACCTCCTCGGTCAGACGAGTGATCTGCCCGCGTAGCGTCTTCAACTCCTCAGTTTGGTCGAGACCGCGCTGGAGGCGTACGTAGGCAAGCACGGCGCCGCGAAGACTGTCAATGTAGATATCGCAGTCAAGTGCACGAACGTCGCGGGTGAACAGGTCCAGATAGTCACGCTCGTCTTCCAAGAACGGCTGAAGATGGTTGAAACCCTTCAGAAGTATCCTGGCGATCTGGGGAATGGAGGACGAAGGATTGACCGGGGAAGGATCGGCGTGGAATTTTCCCATGAGGGCAGCAGAGTCCAAGAGAGCGTCAAATGCTTGTCTGGCCAATATTTTTGACTCCAGGTCATAGGGGGGCGAGAGAGGCCAAGCCCCGAACCCTTACCTTCCTCGAATTTCTTTGGCTCCTCGAAAGTAATGTCGGGAGACTTCTTCGCCCCAACCTTCCGCCTCTCAGAGCAAGCGTTGTGGAGAGACAGGTCAGCCCCATCTGCACCGGTCTCAGCACGGCTCCTACTGGAGCTGTCAGCGTTTCAACCAAGTTAACAACAAGCGTCCTCCTTTTCTTCTTCTTAGGGGGTACACGTCCCCGCCCTCCCGGCGGTTCACCGCTGGCCTCAGGTGCTCCTCAAGGGTCCAATCGTACTTAAGTTTGCGGGAGTCCACGGGGCGGTTGCGAGAGATGTCAGTGAGCACGTCGTTCTCCCTCTGGTCAGCGGCGGTTATGCGTAAAGGGGGGATAATTCGTACGAATCTTCAGGGTGTCGAGCGGTTCCCACCTCTCAGGAGGGGGACAGGCCGGGTCGATCTGCCCAAGGCAATGCAAGTCCACGAATAAGAAAAGATCGCGCCAACCGTGCACGTGATCAGGAAGAGACTCAAAGAGGGCGAACCCCGCCCGGCCAGCGATAAGCACACGGTTCCGATCTGTGTTCATCGGGAGGATGTGGAACCAATAGAGGAACAGGTCGACGGTGGGCACGATGTTACACTTTTGACAAAGTGTCTCAAATGTAACTATGCGATCCACGGCGGTCGACGGAAACTGAAAGAGCGACAGCCGACAGTGGCTGACGATCGCCTGAGTAAGCGCGGAAAGCGGCATCGTAATGTGGGTCTCGACATAAGGAATGTAGACAGAGACAAAACCGCGGGGCGGATGCAAGGCGACAAGCTTCCCAACCGTTTTGTACTTTGGCTTGTCTTTGTAGTTGTACATCGACCTCATAGCGTCGAGACACATTGTCGCGGTGACCCTAGAAAGTGGGAGAATACATCGAAGAGTGCGTCTTGGACTTCAACATCTGGCGACTCAACAAGGGTCTGGTGATCAGCCGTGGCAGGCCTGGAAAGTGATTATCGGGAGAGGAGGTTTGGAGTGCAAAGGCAAGTAGCGGGAGAGAAAAAAAAGGAAAGTAAGTAGCGGGAGTGGAAAAAAGGAAGGAGTATTTATAAAGCCTAAGGCTCGGAAGATGAAGCGTCGCGAGTACCTGGGTGTCCCAAGACACGGGGGCCCGGAGGAGCGGCCCATGAAAGCACCATAAGGCCCACAACCCAAAATGTCCGGAAACAAGGCAAACAAGGGGACGCGACACGAACGACGGGACTCCGAGGTCACATCTGAGGCATCCCCAGGCCACCCAGAGTATCGGGCGATGGGACTCAAGGGAGCCTCGAGCCCGTCCGTGAACCGGGAAGAAGGGGTGTCAACTAGAGCTATCTCGGGCGAGGGAACCAGCATCAGATACGGACATACCCGGGCAGCCAGGAGGAGGCTTCAAAGCCGAAAAGGTGTCACCTGAAAGACGAAGGGTGTCAGGGGGAAACAGAGATGGGTCAACAGACGAGTGAAGTTCAAGTAGGATCCAGACCACATCGACAACGGGAGTCGCAGGACAATCAACTGCACGAACACGTACATGAAAGAAAAAAGTTGTTCAAATTCAATGCGTCGAAACATCCGAAATAAAATATGCAAAAAGTTCATTACAAGTCCGAAGGCGCTACGAAAGTTACAATAAAATCCACGATTACATGCCATAAGTTACAAAACATCGTCAAAGCTAAACGTACACTAAGGGGAAGAGAAAGAAGGATGGAGAGAGCGAGTCTGGGGCACTACATCACTTCTCTTCCAGGTAATTTTAGACCAAGGAAGAGAAAGAGGAGGAAGTTAACCCCAAACGACGCTCCCGCAGAGGCTTGAGAACAGGCGAGGGATCACCCGAAGACGGTCTTGTCGGCCGACTCGAATGCAAACCTAGCGGCCCGATTTCGGCGGCCCCGACAAAATAACCTTGTATTCTTACAAAATAACAAAAAATACAGTACTCACCACCATAATCTTTGTTTTTCACATCCAGGTAGGAATCAAGAAGAACCTAACAGACACCAGGAATCTCTGAAAATGTGCTTAGTAAGTTTAGTTAAAATTGAAGATGAAACATGAAAGGAACTGAAGATTTACCCTTGAGCTTGTAAGACAACTCTTTTGAAACAAGAGCTCCGATCCGAATGCAAAATAGTGTTTGGTGGAAACATAATATATTTTAAAGTTTAAATTTCGGATCTTCATCGCTGAAATAACAAACAAGAGATTCTTTTGAAAGACCCTAAAAAATATATTTTATTTTGGTATCTTGAATGTGGATTTCATATTAAAAAAATTGTCTTCTAACACTAACAAAAAAACCAGGTGGAGGTAAAACAAAAACAAAGCACATACCTTGGAAGAACCTTCCTCATTGTTGCAATATAGCTCTGAATAATAATCTTATCCCTGGTGAGATTAGGATCTGGAGCATCAACAACAATAAGCCAATGCTCAAAATCGCATCCATTGAGCAAGCTCATTTCTTTCGGTGGCCTGTTACTCCAGTTCGGTGAGGGATCGTTGAGAGACGAAGCCGTTCGATACGTGGAGAAACTCCTCATAACACCATTCCTAGTAAACGCGAAGGCTCCTCCTATCGGCAAAAGAAGTTTCTCGGACAGCGCGAGAAGAGGACGGATCCGGAATAGGGGAAAAGATCTGGTTATGTTGGAGAGGACGAGTGAGCGAGATGTTGTTGTGAAGACTGATGCGCTATGGAAGGGAAAATGAAGTGGAATTTTTAGTCTAATAAATTTAATTAATTTGATATGATTGTTTGGCCGAGTGGTTTAAGACGTTAGATTTAGACTTCGAGGTGTGAGTTCAAATTTCACAATATTTAATTTTCCCACTGAGACCATTATAATATTTTAATTATTCAACACATTTCATCGTATACTTTTAGTTTTTTAATTAATTATCTTTTTTTTTCTTTTTTATTGTAGTTTGTAATCTATTTATTTTATTTTTAATCTAGCCTTTAAAAAAAAAAATAGTTAATTTGAGTCAAATTATTTTATTCGGATGTAATTGATTTATTTAATTTGAGTTTACATTTTATTTTAATATTTGAAAATATTTATTCAAACCTAATATTAAATATAAATGTGTACAAATATTTGATATAACCTTATCAATTTTTTTAACATTTTATATTAAAATCCAAAAGTAAAAAAAAATTCACTAAATTTTCGGAAAATATAACACATAAAAATGACGGAAATTCATGGAAAATCCGTTATTTTTGCTTAATATTTTCCGTCATTTAAAAAAAAAAAGTTAACGGAATGAAGTTGGAAAAATCAAATGTAACGGATATTTGTAACGGATTTAAATATTTGTAACTGAAATTTGGCGACAACCAAAGTTAACGGAATTTCCATTAAATATAACATAGTTAATGGAATTTCCTTTAACTTTGCTCGTCTAAACTGTCTACTTTTTTTTGTAGTGATTTTATTTTTATAGTTGGTTGTCGAATTGCATTTTTTTTCACTTTTTATTTCATTTTAAATTCACTTTGTTTTTTAATTTTTTTTAATCTCTTTTAATTTAATTTGTTTTTTAATTTTTAACGAGGCGACCAATCTGGTTGGTCACATTGTGTTTGATTTTATTTTTATATATATTTTAATTCAGGGTTGGTCGCGAATTAATTTTTTTTTAAACTTACGAAATATTCAAATTTTTAAATTTTTAATTTTTTTATTCAGGCGAATTGCAATTTTTAAAAAAACTTACCTGATATTTAAGCAACCAACTGGTTGGTCGCCATATTTGTTGGTCGCATTGTTTTATTTATATATATTTTTTTATATGGTTGCCAAATTGAAAGATATTTTTAAATTTTTTTGAAATATTTAAGGGACCAACTGATTGGTCGTTTTTTAATTTTTTTTAAATTCATGCGATAAACTGGGTGGTTTTTTTAAATTTATGTTGGTAGTAAAATTGATTTTTTTTTAAATTAACGAAATATGTAAGCGACTAACAGGTTGGTCGCGAATTGATTTTTTTTTAAACTTACGAAATATTTAAGCGACCAACTGGTTGGTCGCCATATTTTTCAATTTTTAAAATTTAAATTTTTTATTCAGGCGAATTGCAATTTTTTTTAAAACTTACGGAATATTTAAGTGACCAACTGGTTGGTCGCCATATTTGTTGGTCGCATTGTTTTATTTATATATATTTTTTAATTTGGTCGCCAAATTGAAAGATATTTTTTTAATTTTTTGAAATATTTAAGGGAATTCATGACAGTCAAAAATATTTTTTGAAATATATTTTTTGAAATATACTAAGGTGGTTGCCTTTTTATTTTTTCAAATTTATCAAACCACTTCGGTAAACATCTCAAACGTCACTGATCCAGGACAGTCAAAATTATTCCAATCAGCAAGATCATCGCCATCTTCACTGCGATACTACGGTATTGGTCTTGAAAATGGAAACTATACAGTCACACTGAAGTTTGCGAAGATTCAGTTCACAAATGATCTCACATGGAAAAGCTTTGGGAGAAGGGTTTTTGACATCTACATCCAAGGGATTCGAGTGGCCAAAGACTTTGAAATAAAGAAAGAAGCAGGTGGGAACTTGTTACATTCCTTCAGACGGCGACTATGGTCCGCTGATTTCAGCAATCAGGTTTCTCCAAGTATATATATATATATTTCTTTCAAACCTGACTATATATTGTCAATATTGATGATCTAATTATATGTATCTCCGCAGTTTTCATACCCACAGTCAACAATCAGCCACCAAAATATGGATCATCGGGTAAAAAGAAGGCTTTAATTGCTGGATTGACAACATGTTTGGCAACTTTGTTTATTATTTTAGTTATAATTGGATTGATACGAAGAAATAGGAAGAATCTTATGGCTCATCAAGGTACGCCCGTAGATTTAACTGGAATTAATTATATATATAGAAGATTGATAGTTAATGCATGATGCTGCAGAATTATCTGAATTGAAGGTTTCGACTCATATCTTTTCATATTCGGATTTGAAGAAATTTACAAGCAATTTCAGTGACAGAAATAAGCTCGGTGAGGGTGGATTTGGTGCAGTGTTTAAGGTATAATGATGAATGATGATCTAATTGAGTTAATTTGTGATGAATGCTGATCAACTTAATTAATTACATCAAAGGCGAATTATCTGACGGGAAAGTGGTGGCTATTAAGAAACTTCGAGTAGCATCCGATCACGGAAAGGAGTCTTTTATTGCTGAAATTTCTGCAATATCATCTGTAAAACATCGAAATCTGGTGAATCTCTATGGGTGTTGCTACAAGGATAACAATAGACTTATTGTCTATGAATACATGGAAAATGGTAGTCTTGATCAAGCACTCAATGGTACGTGTATGAGATATATATATGTGTGTGATTGTTTTTATGGTATCATTGTGAATTTAATTTGAAAATTATTGCAGCAAAGAGTGATGATATATTTCTAGACTGGACTACCCGTTTCTCCATCTGTCTGGGTACAGCAAGAGGTCTTTGCTATCTTCACGAAGAATCGAGATACCGAATCATACACAGAGACATCAAATCCAGCAACATTCTTCTTGATTTCCACTTCAATCCTAAAATATCAGATTTCGGTTTAGCAAAACTGTATGAGGAAAAAATGACCCACATCTGGACTAGAGTGGCAGGAACATTGTAAGTGATCAATAGAATAATAGTTAAGATTAGATTCTATTTAGATATTATAGTTGAATGCCATTTTCTTATTGTTGTCGTTGCAGAGGCTATCTTGCGCTGGAATATGCAATGCGAGGACATTTGACAGAGAAGGCTGATGTATTTTCATTTGGGATTGTTTGTCTTGAAATACTGTCCGGCAGGCAGTCCTTGAGTTCATCAGATGTTTCCCAGGAGCCAATCCTTGAATGGGTACAAACAATTTTCATTTTCTTTCTTTAACCTCTAATTACAGATTGATACAAATTTATTCTTGGATTGAAGGCTTGGAAACTCCATGAGAAGGAAGATATCATTGGAATGATAGATGAAAAGCTTTCATATAATTACAACAAAGAAGAAGTTTTGAGAGTAAGTGGTGTGGCATTATTGTGCACTCAGGTCAATCATAGTCTTCGTCCATCGATGTCTCGTGTGGTGTCAATGTTGGTGGGAGATATTGAGATTGGAGACATCCCTTCCAAGAGCACATACATGTCTGATTGGCATGTAGACGACTTTCAGGACTACAAAGGAGAATCATTTTCTTGGGGTAACTAATCATAGACATAACACACATACTGATCATCTTTTTTCAATATACTGCAATAACAAATCGATTTTGTAATTATCAACTGTCAATACACAACTGCAACTGTCAATACACATTTAATAATCCAAAAATGACATATAAATACAAAGTAATTATCAGGTGTGTCGAGATTAAAATGCGTCAAATTAATCATGTCCATTAGATTAATTTTTCGTCGTAAATGTGTTAGTGTCTTGTGCAGTAAATTATTTTAGTCATTGGATTAAATATTAATGGACACGATTTAAAAATGCACGACGGTACATTTAAAATACGACGCACCTGAAGCGCGTCCTATAAATACAAAGTTGACTATAGTTCATTGCCTAATTTCATTTTATTACAGTTTTTTTTAGTTTTAGTTCCTTTCTATTTATATAGGAAATACAAGTCAAGATTAGTTGTTAAAGTCGTTAATATGAAATAATAAATGAATAGGATTAGTTAGTTAATATAGTTAGTAAGAGTGGTTAGTATCAGAGTCCTATAAATTGACTTGAATACTCTGTATTTTATTATCTTTTTTTATCCAATTGATTGTCAATAGAGATTAATCATCGGTAATTTGGGATTATACGATGACAACCAAACCAACGTTATCTTCGCTATAGATACTACTGGAAACCTGATGATTCCCAACACTGGTAATGCTCAGGATTTCTACACAACCCGATGAAACCGATCAGATGCGTGCTCCTAGAGAAAATTAATTATTTTTCCTGGGAAATTCAATTTTCTACGTTGTTTCGTGGATTTCAATTAATGGGATACGTGTGAGGCAAAGTGGAGTTGTCGACTCCGGTAGAAATCTAGCAAGACCAGTTAATATTAAGCTGGATCTTGACTGGTGTTTCGACATCAATTTTTACCACAAATTGCTTCGTCTGGGGTATGGTGGCGCTTTAGATGCTATACAATTCAATTCCGGCACTCAAACGAGGCAGATTCACATTCAACGACAGTTAAAAACACTTCAGAAAAGGAGACTTTCGATGGATGATTGCATTGCAAAGGTTGCGGTTCTTAATGACGCCCTAGCTAGCAGCCACATATTGGATAAAAGATCAAGGAATCAGAGATGGTTATGGTTACTCAGTTGGTCTGATCGAATGCCGAGTATGTATCGTTCGTGATAGCCATTATTGCAAGATACGATCCTGAGCTTACATTTTTCCATTTGTGCGAGTTGTTAATGAATCAAGACACACGTCTTGAAAAATCAAGAACACTAATTCACATGTAGCTAACATTGCGGTGAAGTCAGAATCTTCGTCGAAGGCAGACATTGAATGTCAAATCTGTTCAAGAAAAGGTAATAAGAATGCGGCCGATTGCTACAATCGATTGAATATCACACGCTCTCCACCTTCCTATGACAGAACTCTGTCTCCGTTTGAGCCTAATTTGAGCAATCACAGAGCGTCGATGGTCAATACAATAATATCTTCGTTCACGCCAATGACGATGTAGTATCAGGAGAAACATCACGGAGTATGAAACTTTCCTAGAGGCCTTTGCATCGCCAAGGCTAAGCTAGGGAGCTCT